GAATGAAATTAAAATAAAAGTTTCGCTAAATTGGAAATAAATAAATGAATACAATGAAATTAAAATAAAAGCTTCGCTAAATTGGAAATGAATAAATGGATGGAATGAAATTAAAATAAGTTTCGCTAAATTGGAAGTGAATAAATGAATAGAATGAAATTAAAATAAAAGTTTCGCTAAATTGGAAATGAATAAATGAATAGAATGAAATTAAAATAAAAGTTTCGCTAAATTGGAAATGAATAAATGAATAGAATGAAATTAAAATAAAAGTTTCGCTAAATTGGAAGTGAATAAATGAATAGAATGAAATTAAAATAAAAGTTTCGCTAAATTCGAAATGAATAAATGAATAGAATGAAATTAAAATAAAAGTTTCGCTAAATTGGAAATGAATAAATGGATGGAATGAAATTAAAAGTGAGCAAAAACATTTTTACAATATTCAAAATTTCCTTCTGGCAGCAGCAAATGGCAATAAATTTAGTTGATGATTTTAAAAGTCTAACAAAATAAGTGGCAAATTCACAAAATAGGATTAATTAATATGAAGCAAATAATTTAGAAGAAAGAAATAATTTTCCTGGGAAATTTGAAATTTTCAAGTGGTTTTAGGAAAAATCTGTCAATTGTTTCTTCATAACAAATTTTCCGATTCATCTTTTATTGCTAACTTCTTGCTTCAAAAAAGAAAAAATTAATTTTCAAAATTGTCAATGAAAAAAGATTTTAAAAATTAAAAAATGAATTGGAAATGAATAATTGAAATTAAAATAAAAACTTTGCTAAATTGGAAATGAATAAATGGATGAAAATTAAAAATGTATAAATTGTGCTAAATAATTGATTGATATCAACTGTCAACACAATTAGATTAATTAATTAGAAGCGCAAAATTACTAATAAGATTTTAAATTTATTTAAATAAAAAAAATGAATGCATATATTATGCAAAATGATCCATTGATACCAACTATCAATACAATCAGACTAATTAATTAGAAGTGCAAAATTACTGTTAAAATTTTAAATTCACTTAAAAAAATTGAATGTATAAATTATGCAAAATGATCGGTTGATACTGGCTATCAGTACAATTAGATTAATTAATTAGTTAAATAATTGATTAGAAGTGCAAAATTACTATTAATTGCTAATTCTTTCAATAATCAATTACTAAGCAATCATATTTATAATATCTATTATTTCTAATTGGTTAAATGTTTAAAATTTTCAAATTTTCAATTTAAAAAAAATCAAAAATTCTTTTTATCTTCTTGAAAGATAATTTATAAAAACAAAAAAGCAGAAATGTCACATTATAATTAATTATTCATTGTGAAATTTCAAATCCTTTTCTTTTAAATATTTACGGAAATTCTTTTAAAGGATAATTTATAAATACAAAAAAAGGAAAAGAAATATTTGAGAAGGAAAATAGCAAAGAGAAAAGAAAAGAAAGTTTTGAGATGATAAGAGATAAATTGAGAAATGCATTAATGAAAGTGCTATAAATATATATTGCTGTATGTATCATCGAAAATAACGAATTAACTTCATTAGGAATAAAAAGATGAGAAAGGAAAAAAATATTTGATGCCTCAATAGATTTAAGGCATTTATTAAATTGATGATAATAGATTTGAGGCATTTATTGAATTGGTGATAATATAATACTGATAATACCCGATGGTAATATAATACTGATAATATCGTAATCAGTTTTTTTCATTTTGTATTTTGAAAAAATTTTTTAATTTACAACAATGAGAAATTTTTTCCTGATCAGTTACAGTATCATTATTATAATTAAAATGGAGGAAATGAGATAGAAAATAATATTGCAATAATTCGATTTATAATATTCGCATTTCTTTTCCATGCAATATATGATACTCTTCAACTATTGCGAATAATTTCACTAATTATTATCAATTATTTCAATTATTTACCAATTACCATCATTAATTATTATCAATCATTACTATCATTTATTTCCCCAAATTGAAATTAGTGTATAAATGCTTGAAAGTATAAAACAATGCTTGAAATATTTAAATAAGAACCATCTTTCTTCCCGTTAGACATTCCTTCAATTATACCATTTCTCTAAATGAATAAAAAGCTCTTTGATGATATCATTCATTCTATTGATAAAGCTCGTTAATATATTTTCAATATGAATATTTCCAAATTTATCTTTTTGATAAATTAAAGATGACAAAACAAAATTCTACATGAAGACAAAAATGTTTAATTTGTCATCAGTTGAATGATATTTTCTTTCGCTTTTCTTCGCCCACAATTTTATGAATGGTCAATATCTTTTTTAAGTACTCATTTTACTGCAACACCAATATCCTATATCAATAATCCAACAGTATGAATATTTCCTTCGACAAATAATGAAGTTCCGTTGAAATTTGAAGTTTGCCAACACATTCTGTCATAACAATGATGAGATACCTTAGAAAATGCCATTGAGATGTCAAAATGTTTACTTTGATCTTACACATACATAAGTATCGATTACTGAAAATGATCTAAATGCATTGAACCATCGAAATAGTAACTTTCGTATACTCTTAATTTTTTGAATTTTCTAGCGCGTAGAACTTCGAGTTACTAATCATTTTACTACACTGTATTAACAAAGTTACAAATTAACAAAAAGAAAACACAAAGAAACAACAAGTCGAGAAAAATATCATTCCTCATTTTATTTACCACTTCACTTCCAAGAATGAAGAACCGACAATATCTTGACCTCAAAATAACCTTTCTGCATTCAGTATTCTTAGATTTCAATTTTTTTGAGATTTTGCATTTGCAAAATTGAGATCGAGAGCGAGGTACATAGTAACAAGGTAGATGCAATGCGGCAAACAAAATCTTTTCTCCAAATTACAGAATATTTCAATTAATAATTTTTTCAACTGCTGGAAAATATGTTTCGGTAAAGATTAATCAACATGTATATTAAATAGAAAATTCTTTGACAGAATAAACATTAAATAAGTTGTCTATTTTTGGAAATGGGTTCTCGGTAACATCCGAAATATAAGCTACTAATAAGAGAAGTGCAAATATAAGAATTTGAATATTCTTGTAATTCTGGAAACAAATCCATAACTGCAACATTGAATCAAAGAGCTTGCAGAAAAACGATGAAAAAATGATGACTGAGATAGCTCACGCCACATCTAATTAGCACCTCCTTTAAATTCTTTATAAATACTCAACAGCCAGTTTGGAGTTCGCGGCATAATTTCGTTCAATGCTTGACTGAAAAATTTTTGGAATTTTATCACTAAAAGTAAGATTGAAATCTGAAACATTAAAAAAAAAACCTCCTAAATGCTTTAAAAATCAATACAGTTAATATAAGACCAATGAAAACCTTATTATTAACTTATTATTAGCTATTATAAGCTTTGTTATTAGTATTACCGATCATTTAATACAGTAAACCCATTCCATGATGAAACAAACACCGAGATGGAAAATTTTTCTAGGGCTTATGATGTCAACTTTAGCTTATCTTCTGCTTAGACTACTCATATTTCAAACTACTTTACCTTAAACGACTAACATAAACCAATAGTTCATATTCGATTTCGTAGAAATATTGAAAAGAGTAGATAAACTTACTGGAAATGTCGAAATTCAAGCTTGTCAGCATCTCTATTCTCGAGTAACGCTTCACGTACGGCCTGATCACAAAGTTCAACCACTTCAGCACCAGAGAACCCTTTGGTCCTTCTACCTATATCTTCCACATCCAAATCAACACTAACTTTCATTTGATTCAATCGAATGCGCAAAATTTCAAGCCTAAAATACCGAAAAATACGACACTTTTCTAAAAGAATTCTGAAAATAACTTCAATCATTCTCAGTAAATCATCTAAACGTTTATTTCCAACTTCTGCTTTCGCAATTTTCCTAAACATAATTTAACTCTGACTTTTTAATTAACCGATGAATGTTATATACACTTAATTAACACCAACAAATACCTAGTCTCTTCGTCTGGCAAAGGAACATGAATAGTGAGATTAAATCTGCCTGGCCTAAGCAATGCACTGTCTAATCTGTCGGGTCGATTGGTCGCTGCTAGCACCAACACATCGCCTTTTTCCTCCAAACCATCTGAAAATCTTCATTTCAATTTCGTGAAAGAAAATTCTCGAAAAACAAAAAGATACGAAACTAATTTAAAAATTAATTAAAAAAATTGTACCAAGCTCGGTGAGTAACTGTGTCAGTACGCGTTCACCAACATGACTCTCACTTCGATTCCCCCGATTTGCACCTACTGCATCGATTTCATCAAAAAAGATAATAGCTGGAGCTACCTGAAAAAAAGAGAAATCATAAGATTAGAACTAAAAGTCAACTTCCTTTATTAAAGTCCATACAAAGATAACAGTTACAACTACCTAAGTTTCCGCAAATTGGGTAATAGCTTTAAGAGAAATGTGTTGTCGAAAGCAAGGCATTGTTAAAGATAAACATAGTCAACAAAAATTAAGGCTCGTAAACTATTTTGCGATGTAAATTTTATATTTTATTATCAAAATAAAAAATTACTTAAATAAAGAACAAACCTGCCGAGCTCGCCTAAAAAGCTCTCGTACAGCTCTTTCCGATTCCCCAACCCATTTACTGAACAATTCTGGTCCTTTTACTGCTAAAAAGTTCATGTGTGACTGTGATGCAATTGCTCGTGCTATTAAGGTTTTGCTGCAACCGGGTGGTCCGTATAACAGTATGCCGGATGGAGGTTTCGAAGCGAAACGCTCGAAAATTTCCGGATATCGATACGGCCACAAAATTGCCTGAATAGAATGAAGTTATTAATCAAAAAATGCAACTTAACATAAATGTCTGGCAGTTCTACAAAGATTCATTTGCATTTCCAAATAAATTTCGGTAGTACACAATAATACTCCTTTGTTACAAAATAGAAAGCATTAATTTAATGCTTAAATACGAACATATGAAATTATCTACCTGTTCAATTTTCATCTTTAATTCCCGATTCCCTCCAATGTCTTCCCAATTGACATCAGGTACCTGAAGCACAAACTGCCGAATACCCGTTGGACGTACGCGCTTCAAAGCAATATCGAAACAATGAAATAATTCATTCTTATCACCGGTGGATTCAAAATTAGCACAGACGCGATGAACAACTGCTTTTAAATCACCACCCGTATAACCGTGACTTTTCCTGAAAATACCGAAATAAAGAAATAAAGACTGTAAAATAAAATTACTAAGTTATTCCAAAGTTTTCAAATAATATTGCGATCAGAAGACTTACTGAGCAATATCTTTTATCAGTTCTTCGGATGAGGACAATTTTAACTGCTTCCTTTTGAGTAACAAACGTAGAATTTCCATCCTTTCTGGTAGTGATGGCACCAGTAATTCTACTTCACACGGAAATCTTCCTCTTAATGGCAGGCCAATGGCTTCGACATTACGTACAGCTAATACGAATGAGAAATTCGTATATGTATCCATAAAACTAAATTTAGAAAAAATGATCAAATAATAATTCAGATCATCGTAACACTTATATCACAATTTCTCATCAAGCTTATAATGTTTCGTAATACTTTTTGATTTACTTAATATAGACATATATATGCAGATAAAACATTTGCTATTTTACTTGCATAGCTTTTCATTGTACTGCTTCATATTGTCAAAATCATCCACCAGCAACGCCATCTTCTGGTCGTAATTTACTGCGCCATTCTCGAGGAAATCTTCGAATTCTCTCTTCGACAACCAAAGAGCTTTATCTCGTAAATACTCTTGTATTATACGCAAAAACAACGTTTTTCCACATCCTGTATATCCTGATAAAATCACTGAACATGCTTCTTTTCCTCTAAAAAAAACTTCTTTTAAGATTCATTGTAATTTCTAACATCTTTGCTTAATTTATACCAATGAAATTTCTATCAATAAATTACTTGCAACATTACTTGGCTTATTAGAAGCAGAGGATAAAGTTCAAAAATTATTTGATTTCGACACAATTTAACTTATTTCACTTAATCCATTATATCACTTGCCATGCCAAACTACGAATTACCATTATTTTACAACGACTGATTGTGTATGGACAAAAAGAATCAGTTATAAGCATTCCCAAAAAAATAATCCAGCAGATTGTATCGTTACGTAAAAAAGCTATTAAATCAACCTACACTTTTAATGGTTTTATCAAAGCTTCTTCAATTTCCTTCTTAGCATTTTCCGCCCCACCAAACTCTTCAAAAGTGAGAGGAGAGGAACTAGTTGCTGCTGCCGTATTATCAACCACGTGATAAGTGCAATCCAGTTTGGGCCTTAGCAACATGACTGATGATAAGTCAGATGAAATTTTCAGCATTTTCAACATTTCCGTTTCCGATAACACAATTTCGAAGCTGTGCTCTTGTCCATAATAATAAACGTGTACCGGTACACTGATTCCTAAATATCCATTCGATAGATAAACCGCCATATAATCACTGAAAGTGACACAAAATTTTCCTCAACAATTTTCCAATTTTTCTAATCTTAACTAATTTACTTTTCAATTTTGGTAGTTTTTTCATAATTTTAGCCGACTAATCTTAATGGCGTTTAAATCTTAACTACAATAGTTTTTACCATATCTCTTTTAGCTTTCCCTTTATTTTTATAGCAAACTCTAAACTCCTGCAGTGCACTCTTTTAATAATAGTAGATATGAGACTTAAAACTTTATTGTAATGCCTCCTCGAAATTTGATCAGCAAAGTTCTAAACAGTACTTACTCCACTATAGCACATGCCTTTCGATCTATTATATCAGTAGACAGTTCATTTAAGTGTACCATTCATTTAGTATTATGAATTTAGTATTTAAGTACACCATTCATTTAGTATTCCTCTTATTCAGTTCACCATATAATACATAAACAGAAATCCAATATTCGCTTACCAGAAATGTTTTTTGGCATAAATGGGCAAAAAATGCCTTCCAGATGACGGGTGTAATTGTATAGTTGAAACATTTTTAATGTTTTCGATACCCACAACAATTAACCGATACTTCACACAAACTCGAGCTTTTTGAAAGAAAATATGCATTTCTTTGACCTAAACTTGATGAATTACTCACTAATGGAAGTCAGTTACAAATCAAAGATGCTATCATCGTCAGAACATTTTTATTTAAAGAAATTTTAAATGAAAAATTTGAAGTTTCCCTTTTACCAATTCCTTCCTAAAAGCTTTCTCACTCATGGATTGATGCAACTACAATAAAAAAATCACATTAATCCTAAATTATAATTTGAACGATAAGCAAGGAATTCATTTTGGCAGTTAATAATTTGCAAATACCTCATCACATGGCCAAACTGTTACGCATTGTGCATTAGCAGCACTCTTGTTACAATTAGCATCAATATTTGTTAACCAGCAAGGTCCACGAGGTGATACGTGAAGTTTAGCCATTGTTTCTGGATGCATTAAAACAGTATTCCGCTTTTCCCAACCGATTATATCAGGTGGCAAAAAGCTTGCTGTATTTGTCAAATTTTGACTGGTAACAATCGCTCCAACGTGTGGCATAATAATATTCACGCTGGAGATTAGTAAAAATTCTGCACCATATTCTTTGATTCCCGAACATTCTTTCTTCAAAATAAATAAGTTATATAGGCGTGTAAAGGATAGTTTTGAATGAAGTATTTAATGTACGGTGAAGAATTAAAATGTTACCTATTTATCCATATATATATATATATATCACTTATATATCACTTTACTCATCATGACGGGTAAAGGAATGTGAAAGATAAATTCAATTAACATATGCTAATTTTCAATTTTTACTAAGCTGCAATCAATATAATCACGCAAAATAAGTAAATTCATATAACTAAACTACCTGATGCACATCCAAATTTTTTGCATGTACATAACAGACGCAATTCGAACATTCGATAATTGTGTTCTTTTTTTTCGACATATTCAGGTAACACTACTGAAACATTGCAATAAGTAATAAATCAATGATAGCAGTATAGCTAGGGTTAACAAAAATATAAGTGAGAAAATGTAAAAACGCCATTTTATTTTCAAATTAATTAAATTTGAAGCAGGATGAAAAAATGTCCCTTACACTTCGCAAGATAATGAGAGGTAAAACTAAATCCCCATAGAGGAATAGAAATTTATACAAAATTTATAAACGTACATCAGTCATACGGCTAATTGATTCATTTCATCTTTTATTTGAGTAAATAGAATATTGCCTGAAACTTCTGAGACATCACAATTATTAAGTCGAGACATTATCAATCCTAGTCGCACGATCACCAGCATCCACTTTTCCAGAAAAGTTTCGCACAAAATTAACCCAACCACATATCTCAGTTCAATTATTCGTATATAGTCTTAAAATACTCGTCAAACTCAACCCATGATTTTAACGATGAAACTACTATTCAGCAAATATAGCATCCCGCTACTCGTATAATAAATTAATGAGCAATGTACATATATATATATATATATATATCAATACTCTTCACGGGAGAAAAATGATGAAAAAAACAAATTTGGTGAAAAGCGATGGAAATGCAAATCTGGTAATAGTAATACTTTATTGACGCCTTCTATTCGTCTTATTCATGTATTCCTACGTTCAAGAACATTTTTCTTTCCTTTATTCTTAAATAACAAAGCATTCATCAATCTAAATGACAGAGATACGTCATTTATATTTACTTCAGCCATTTCGTAAAGTCAGGGTGAAACAACTGCGGTTTAGCATGCGTTATCTTCGTTAGTTTCCATAATCAGAAAAATCTATCAAGCTATAAGGAAGATTTCAACCGGATTCTTGTTTGGATTTTCGGGTATGGGTTTCTTTTACGGCTATATTTTCTTCCAGAGAAAACTTCCAATGCCTCCTTTCCTTTCCTTTTTTAACAGAATATTTAAATCTCATTACTTCACCCGACTGAAATATATATTTTAATAAACCGACATTCTGTTTTATGTATGAATAATGTCCGGATCACATGCATTGTGAATCACAAGAATGACACATTTTGGAAGAATATTTTTATAAATCAAAATAAACTAAAAAGCGAACAAATGCAAAAAGTGATAAAAACTTTAACATTGGCTAATTTTATCGGTCCCTGGTTCCCTGTTTTCATCAACTAATATTACATTTTCTTCTACGTCATTATTTGACGACACATGAGTTGCATTAACATTTGGCGTAGTTGTGGTAGTAGCACCTGAAAGATAATTACATAATTAATACTGAATTTTACCTCAAGGTTTGGAGCGAAGCATTGAAGCATTAAAACTATATAAAACCTGATGAACCAAAAGTACTGACGATTATATTCTATCATTTTTTGTTTTCACCTTCCTTCTTTCCTTTTTCATGTTTATACAAACCATTTCTCTCGTATATTAAAAAAAATTACACAAACTCATTGGTCGTGCATGAGACCGATAACTGTGGTCTTAAAAATGACAAGCAAAGAGCACATGAGAAAAACAGTGCGCTTTTTAAGCTGTAATACGCCGTAAGTCCACGTTTTTACGAATTCAAAATTAGGTCAAAAAAGGAATGTTTGTGATTGATTTTATGTAAAAATGACAATGGACGAAAACATCTACCAGTTTCACTGCTATTTGCAATTAACGACTTTGAACCAGCGCGTGGAGAACGCGAACGGTCACGTATTTCCACCCCATAAGTCCGTCCAGCAGACACACCAACTACAGCACGCTGACTCTTTCGATCACGGAAAACTCCCGGTTGCAACATCCTATAAGGATCATGAGGGTCGTATCATGTAAGAAATGTAATAAGTTTTTGAACCCTTAATTTCAAGTTGTTCAATATAATAATTACATTCATTGTAGACCTCAAAACTACATATAAACTAGAACAGGAAAGGTAACAAAAACACAAATTAAAAAACCTCCTCTGAGTAATTGATGGCCGTGTGCTCCACACGTGCCGAATTCGGATGGCTTCATCACCTTGTGGATGTTCATATTCATGAAATGGTAATCGACCATCATCATATAACGAAACAATCCTGCTATTCGGAAATTGCAATCCACGTTCATCCATAAATGGTGCACCGCGACTGCCATCGATAATTGGTACACTATCACGAAATAGTGGCATCCCGAAACGTTGCTGTGCTCTCATCATCCCCATCATTGGTGGCTGTGGCGGTTGTTGAGCAATTCCTGATAACATACCTGGATGATCCAGTTCACGATTTATTTTTGGCCGAAATCCCAGTCTTCCAATTTTTTCTGGTCCTACGGTACCGTTAGGTGGAATATGACTGTCCGATGCGCTTGCAATTTCTATAGCCCGTTCATTTGTATTTACTAAAGCCATATTTCTCAATGGATTCTGAGCTCCTGATTCAATAACTGGACCGCATAACGAAGGCGCGCTCATTGATGAAGTTACCTAAAAAACAAACATTTCAACATTAATATGCTCGAAAATTGATGAATGAATCAAACTTAATAAAAAGGCAGCATATTTCCTATTAAGATTATCAAGATAAAGACAAAAATTTAGTTGAAAAGTCTGGAAAATAAAAATTGGCTTTAGAATTCCTTTTAGCGGATTGCATGATAAACATTCCCTATAATAAAAGTATTTCCTTCCAAATGAAGTATGATCATCAATTACCGAGACATCACGAGCGTTAATTGCCGATGTGCCAGGGCACTCGAATGCTTGATCATTTCCTGTTTAAAATTAATAAAGTAGAGCACATTAAAAAAATAAAAAATGCACACAAATTATTGTTTATTAAACATGTTTTTATGCAGTAAGATTGCAGAGAGAATAAAGACACAAAAACAAAAGATCAGGAAACATTAACATGCACCACTAAAATACTCTTGGAAATCATAGGAAATCAACCTTGCAGTGTGTGTGCTGGAAATGGTGGCGGAACTGAGAAATCTGGAGGTGGTAGAATGAATGGTGCAGGAACTGTTGATGCAACTGGAGGATAAGTGAAAGCACCGGAGCGCTCTGGAACGAAATGTGGTCTAGGTGGTAGCGAATTCTGTGCAAAGCTCTGAGTCTTCGGAAAAACACCGTAAGAACCACGGCTGCAATATATGAAGATTTGTACGTAACAGAAAAGAGATTAGATATAGTGTTTTGAGAAGTAAAAATTAAAAATCATTTTGTAGGAATCTCATGAAGAGCCCAAAAGAACAAAAATACCATGGTTCTGATGACGGAGCCTGCATCTTCGTCGACAATGGCATATTTCCTGAAAAAAGGAAGCATAGCAACGATGGAAATTTCTTGCCAATCAGTATAACATTCGTTAACATACATCGAAAAACTCGTCCCTTCTATTACGAGTGACAATGTAATGACAATAATTTCTGAATGGAATTTTTTGAATACTGAACTATTTAGTAATTTAACTTAATGTATTTTCCCGTGTAGAATCGCATCTGAAGATAAATAAATGTGAAGGCAGATACTGAAGAATTAAAAAAGGCTCATGATACCAATCGCTGAATTATTTGACACATGCTAAACTCCTAATTAATCAATGCTCTTGAAGCAATGCACACCTGCATTGAAAGTTTGATCTTTTTCATGCAGAAACTCCATGACATCCTGTCCAATATGTGTGGCCAGTAAATTCATTCCACGCTCATTCATCAATCTCTTTAATGTTTCCATACATTCTCGCAACGATCCTATTTCTTGCTTATGCATCTGACGCATTTGTCTGAAAGATATCAGATCGGTTGAACAGTTTGCAAGCAAATTTTTTTGAATTTTCTGAACGGTTTTGTTCAATCAGATATAAAAGGATAATTTGAAACAAACTCCAATAATTTTCGACGATTGTTGGAAAGTCGAATTTGCTCCCGATCCAATTCGTGCACGTCGCATAACAAATGACGCAGGCCTACATCACTAAGTTCTACCAGCTAAAATCGTTGATTTCAACATTAAAAATTGAAAAGGATTGCAAATAACGGGACATGATATTCGATAGTTTTTTTAATGAATGGAGAAAATTCTGTTCAGAGGTTTAAGCAACAAGAAATTCTATAAAGATAATTAAATTGACCCCTTCATAACATCAAAATCAAAAAGAAATTTTGAAAAGAATCTGGGATATCAGGCAATATAAGTCAAAAAAGTCAAATTAGTTGTCGCATTTCTTCTTTTTTTTTCTATTGATTTTTAATCTGTCTCGAAATTTCTATCGTTTTAAAACAACAATCATATTTTGCAGAAAACATTTTATAAAAAATACCACATCCGGTGCTGGAATTTTTCGTACGCGAAGGCAAATTTGTTCAGGTGATAAATGTGGATGCCGATAATCATTATCTGGATCAAACTGTTGTGAGACATCACGTTCTCGACTAACGTGGAAATCTCTTTCAACTTCCCTTCTACGATATTCAATAAAACCATTTTTCCTAAAAACTTGCAAAAAACGAAAAATGAGACGAACATTAATTCATCTATTCTAAAAGTTAAGCTTCTTAGTCCATAACTAAGTTCACCATAGTTGCATGTGATGCAGTAAGCCAAACTAACAAATGAAGTTTTACATCAGCAGTCGAGAACATTCAAATCATCTACTTCATTTTGAAATAGTGATGAAGAATAGAAACCTCCTATTTTCTCTGCGTAAAATCAGGAAAAAAAAAACGCTTGAATTACAAAAATGAAAAGCTAACGTAGCTTCCGGTTGAGCTACACGAGCAACATCTTCAGTTTCACCATCGCTGTCATCCCTAATTTCTCCGGAGCTTGAAGAGCTGAATAGAATTAATCGGTTAAATGAAATAAGACAAAACTAGGTTATTAAACAGCAAACTGAAAATAGGTAATGTCGTTTGCAGCATCACAATTCGAAGAGAGATTTACACCAAAATTGAATAATTCACAACAAGCTTCGCGACAATCAAAACGTTGAATTTTTTCCTCTTTTTGAAAACCTAATTGAAAACAGCTACAGTATAATCCCTCAGTCTTCAATACCCAGGTATTTTGGAAATAGAATGAAAATTTAGAGAAAAGGTACGTAAATGTAGAATAAGGTAATGATTCACAGTCCAGAAAGAAGACTCTCGGCTTAATTTTCTGTCAGAAAAAAACTTAAATTGACGTTTACAAAGGTGATTATACACACAGACACATACAAATATCGTACAAGCTCACATTTACTTGAATAACAAAAAGTAGCCAAGTTTGATCGAAAAAAAAATGAGAGACACATTTAAAAACATAAATTGAAACCCGTAGAATGTTATGCTGAAATGACTATCGCTGGTTTGTGAAAAGATGTACTGGAATGCATCCCTAGAAATTTCAAGCGGGAACGATGTTCTGAATCAAGTCTATAGAGATCTAGCTAAACCAAAATTTCAATCTTTGACACTTAGTTCACATATGGCCACGCTCCATACGTGATTATTGCGACCCCAAGCGCATGGGCTATACCACATGAATCATTGCAGCAAATTCACATTTTACAAAATTTAGATATTTCCACAAGCTATTTCGATGCAAATAACTATTTATTTAATTCGGGATGTTGCTTAGATCTTGTTTTCAAAATAATATTTGGCTTTCTCCTTATCTTCCTTCCTCCGAGATCACTCTTTCTCCCCCATTATGATAAGAAAATATAATAAAAGAAATGAGTAAGACAACAAAAAGCAAATAAAGAAATGCAGTATAAGATTTTCCACGCCTACTAATAAAACCCATTCAGAAAAATTCAAAATTCATTTTTTAAAAATATTTATGGGGACCATGAAATCAAAAATATATATCTAGGGGACTACCCGCATGGCGAAGCTGAAGGCTTTTCTTTCACCGCATTCTTCCGTTTATTTGATCCCATCACATTGGCATCTGAAACTTTTTGCCAACATTTAATAGGTTAGAAACAAAACAAGAAAAATCCATAAATGGATAAATTTTTGAACAAAATTTTAAAGAATTAGTGATAACAAATGCGCGTCAAAACGTCACTCGATATGAGGTATTTCAACTCCCGAATTTTAAAACCACGAAAGCTCTTAAGCAAAAAATAAATTGAACCCCATATAACCATTAGTTAATTAAGCAGCAAATTTTATCCCTTTCTGGAAGCTTACATATATCCATGTCCACCACGCACGTGATACATCCGCACAACCCGGAAGCATCAATTTTATCCAGAAAATATCGGAATGCTTGTTTTTCATTTTTCGAGTGCAAAAATGGTACATGCCATTTTAAGTTAAAGCCATCAAGGTATTACAACATTTCAGAATGTTGTAATACCTTAATGGCTTTAAATTAAAATGGCATGTATCATTTTTAAATTAAAATGGTACGTACCATTACCCCAGTATATTTCTCCCATGCACAAAAAACTAGACTTAAATATCTCAGAATTCATTCTAGGCAAAATCAAATTAACAAAAATGCAAATGTACTTAGGTTTACGCCTAAATATTTATATACGCTCTATCATTATTAAAAAAGTTAAAACATGCTAAAAATTAAACTTAAGTCTATTTTACGGGAGGAAAAAAGGTAAGTCGAAAAATATATACAGATGTTCATATATTTAAGTGGGAAATAAACCGAACTATATAGAATTTGTATCAAAAATAAAATGTGAAAGTAAAATATTAACTTCTGGAAATAAAATCTAAAATTCCATATTTTCTGGATAAAATCAAAAACAAAACACGTACATATGTATAAATCCACCCAATAACCATTTACTGTATACAATCAACACAAAAACACTACCGATCGACTGTTCTGTATCGCCCATAATAATCAGCTTACGGTATACGTAGAACACAGACGTGACACATCAAATCCGGAACTTTACGCTACGTCAACTTTACGTTACGCCACTTTTACGTTACGCCAACCCGAATAACACAGTGACTCCTTTCCTCCCTTTTTTTTCGGTTGCACGGGAAATAGGCGCACAGAAATGTGAGAAATTTCACACCAAATTATATCGAATGCAAATCTACCGTCTAGAAATCAAGTTTTCTATTACAGCGCTATTTTGTTTGATTATTGACGATCAGTTGTAATTAGGTCTGGTAGAGTACTTATATTATTTCATTGAGGAATGAGAGAAAAAAATTTCCGGTCATAAATTCAGAATTCCTATTATCAAAAATTCGAAATTCGAGAATGGCTTTTTCTTTCAGAGCAAGAAATTATAATTTACAAATACCTCATCACATGGCAAATATCGTTTTCGTTGAATTATTTCTTAAGGATACATGGATAAACTTTTCGATTTCATCTCCTACAACAATTCGAACATTTATGTAGATCATTGATAATAATAATTACAATTTGTTTGCTTTAAGAAACGAATAGGAAGTTAACGAAAAGCTATATAATGCTTTTAGAGTTTTAAGACCAATTTGTGATATTATTGATTATCAGTGAATTTTATACATATCAAAAGGAAAGAAATTTCTCACTTATAAATCTCATCATTTATATAGTTCAATTATTCATTCTATAGCATTATGAAGTTTATGTTAAAGATAACTTTTATGACATGAACACACGTCATCCTATTATATTAATATTTCAGCGAATGGAATTTGAATACAAGAATAGATGGTATATATTACATATCGATTGAACTAAAAGAAACAGAATGGAATAAAATTTAGTGAATGAATCAATTTTTAACAAAAATTTATTCCTACGAAATTTCATTAATAATAATAGAAATTAGAAGCATCACAATAATCAATCATCTTTATAGCACATTAAATTGATTGATTACATGAAAGTGAATTGACAAAAAACAGATACAAAGAGAAAAAAAAAGCTATTCATATTTATTTCATGAATTATTCGATCAATTTACATATCAAATATTTACATGTAAATTATCTTGAAAGTAATAAGAGCGACGTGAAATTGACGTAGCATAAAGTTTCAGATTTGATGTATCACGTCTGTGTTTCTACGTTATACTATAAGTTCATTATTATAGGCGATCGAGAAGGATTGATCAGTTGTGTCTTTTGTATTAATTGTATATATAGTAAATGGTTATTTACACATTATGTGAATGTTTTTACAATGCTGTTTTTAATTTCATTTAGTAAAGATGAAGGTAAATTTTACCTTAAATATTTCACTTCACCCAACGTAATGCTATTTTCTTTGCTATAAACTAGACTTGACTTTAGTTTTAATAGAAAAATACGGTGTAAGAATGAAATTCAATTTCCGGAAAAAAAGTTCAATTCTGGCATAATTTACGATAACTGTATTTTGCACTTGCTAAAATTTGCTACCGGAAATTCTTTTCTTTTTCAAGTATTAACGGAGAAATTAAAATGCATGATACCAATACAAAATTAGCTTACTTCTTGTAATGCTGAATTTACTTTGTAAATCATTAAAGTATCAAGAAAAGCTATAATCAAACGAGATGTTATCGAAAATTGCCACTAAAGACGAAATTGATGAAATGGAAGAAATGGATATAAATGCTTGACAAATTTTCTGTCCCTACTTTTGCAACTTTAAAACTACACAGTCTCATTAACCTTTCAGGTAGTAATCAATTTACTCAATTTTGGATAGAATGCCCAGTATTTTTACCATATTGCATCCCTTCACTAATATATTGATAAATCACCAATGGACGTTACTTTACTTTTTGTCATTGATTGAATGGAAATCGACTGTAACGATATTTCACATGCATAAAAAATGAGCAGTCATAGTTTGTTTGTTACAATTACAATAACGTGAACAGCTTAGCATCTAATTGTTTATTTTATTGTTACAATTACAGTAACGTGAACAGCTCAGCATCTAATTGTTTATTAACAATCAAAATTCAAAGAAAAAACGACGAGTGATTGAGTAATAAGGGAATAACAACAGGTAATGTTCCCAGGAAAAAAAAAAATGACGTTCTGCGGTACAGTTCAAAACATATTTTGATGACTAATAATTAAAAAAGAAATCTCCAAATTTCTTTGATGAAAACACGAGTGCCTTCAAATAGGTAGGATTAACTTTTCAGATACGCTACCAATGAATCCAATTAAAATAAGCAAATGAGAATGATCAAAGTTCTCCCACATAAATTTCCATGCCTATAGCGACATTGGCAATAAATATCAATACTTATGGAACAGATGGTTTCATGAAGAGAAACAATGATTTTAAGAGCATTTGTTCGCTAAAAGGTTTTCGACGCAGGAAAACCTATATCACAACTTGTTCAGCATATCAAAATTATTCAGTATAAAAACTTTTTTATAAAACTAAAAATATAAAAACATATCAAAAATATTCAATATAAAAAATTATGAAAGTTGAAAAATTATTAAATTTCAAGTAATCATCATTCATTTCTTTTCACTCTGCCGCGGCAGCTGAAAACCAGCTCGGATCGCAGAAATCGAACCTCTCGTCTTCGCTTTCGGCCCCATATTCTTACCTTTACTTTGTTGAAAACGTAGCAATGAGTCAATTTTACTTTTCTCAAGAGCTTCCGGATGTAGCCGAAAAACGATTTCATGCCTGAAAATTTTGAGAAAAAATTTATTTGGCTTGCTGAAGGTTTCTATTCACGCGTTGTTTTCGATGATAAATATTCTATGAATATTGAATAGCAAAGTGAAAGAATTTAGAAGAGGGAGAGAGGGAATTTTAACCGTTCCATATAACTGGTCTTTTAAAAACTACTTTATTTGGCTCAACCATTTGTAAGAAACTAGTGACTTTTTCTAGCTTGCTGAACAGTCTAGGAATTAATCACAAAAAATGCTAACTGGTTTAGAAAAAATGTTATATAAAAATTCTCCAAAGAAACTTCATTTACTTTATTTTCTGTTCCAAAATAACTTTTCCAGCACATTCTTCTGTAAAACGATCGGTTGTCACATTATTATTCTTTGCCTGTAAGTTAATTATTTAAATTATGCAAAACGATGTAATGAACGAAATAATGCTAAGAAATCGAACGGATTAATTAAAAGATTTCATCCTTGTTACCGTTAGTAGCAAATGGTCTCCCAGATCGACAGTGTTTTTTTTTTCAGCCATGATCAAAAAAATAATTGTCATGATGACAGGTATATTATAAAATATGGATAATCGTGTTAAAAATATCTTGGAAGCATAATATATAATTTTAATTTCAACAGTAATCCATAGAATCCTAATTTTTCTTCAGAGAAGAGAATTTCGGGTGATGCTATCTTTTTGATACATTCCATGATATGTAAAACTCACCACAGTTCGGGCGATATCCCACAGAAATGATGCTGGAGCATCGGTTTTGACTGCTTTTGGATTACAATGAGATATGGAACAACGATAACCCGCATTCATGAGTGCTGAACGGAAATCGATTGATTTTGGCACCGCTGATTTCACAACATGCATCAATTGATCATATTCGTAATATAGAGGAATATCTGGTAATTCCTGCAAACTAAATTACTTATCTACTAACCTTTGATTGCACTAAATTAATATAATTAGGTTAATATAATTAATATAATTAGTTAATATACTGGATAGGGCAATTGTGAGTTGCAAGAGAACGACGTTACAAACTGTAAAAAATTCTATCCTCGAATAATTCTAAAGACCACTGTACTCAGAGTAGGAAATTTTTGAAACTTTCATGTCAGAATGATTAAATTACTACTTCTGACATAGTTTCTTTTATTTTGTATTCATTTTTCAGCTAGGAAAGAAAACGTATCGAATGTATCGGCTACGGGAGAAGAATTTGCTTATCACTTTACAATTTTAACGACTACTGCTGTACTTCAAATATATTCGAAGGATGTGGTTTCCGCGAAAATTAAATACCGTAACGAATTTTCATATGAAACAATCATTCTTATCACCACTCTATCTCTAGAACTGCTCGGTTACTCAATGAAATGCGCCTGTTAATAATGAATACCACTGTGCGCCTGGCCCAATCATGTATTAAAAATATTATATTACTTTTCTTTTCCTTCTATTTTTACTGTATTATGATTCATATTGAATGAAATTTGCAACACATCTTATTTTTTAGCTGATAATTTTCTTTAGAACAGTTAAACTAAAATTTTGAAAGCTCAACAAAACAATTCGCAATTTGGGAACCACAGTTTTTGGTAATCCCTAAACACTGCTATTCATAAAATTAGAGATACGGTAGCGAGAGCACTTAAAACGAGAAGGTTTGCATAGAAATTGAAGAGAAAGAAAGCCAAAGAAGATATGACCAAACCTCAGCAATAACAGTTAGAACTCCAACTGTACGCAAATACGTTTCGGACCGTTTTTCCTCTGGAAGTGCTTTTAATCTGCAATTCAGAAATTATAGCAATTAAATCGGCTTGAATCAACTGAATCAACCGAAAATCAACCCGAAAAGATATTTATGAGTGCTAAATTTCTTCTCCAAGAAACAGACTTCACATTTAATGCCAAGCCATCACATTTTACTACAGGACATATCTGTAATAACTGTATTAGCTGAAGATGTAAGCTATCACATTAGCAAAGGATTTACTGAACAGCTGTTCTTCATTGCTCTGCAGCTGCATTCATATATTTCATTTTTTTTTCATGCAGATCATAACATTTTCGTGCAGTTATAAGTCACAACTTGATAAAAGCAAAATTTTTCAACAATAATTCTTAACAAAGTATGAAAGAAAAAAGTTTCACCTTTCCAACAGTTTATTCACAAATTGGTGATTATGTATTGGTGCATTATAGATTGGACCAGCCATATGTACGGACTGTTTGCAATGAACA